GGGGGGGGGGGGTTGTAATCAGAGTTAGTCTAACACCCAGGCAAAGGAGGTGGTTGCCACTATGGCATTTATTTGCACGCTTTGGAAGGACATTTGGTTAATATATATACAGCTGACCTTTGAACAACATGGGTTTGAACTGTGTGGGTCCACTTATATGTAGATTTATAAAACTAAATATAGTGGACCCTCCATATCCCTGGGTTTTGCATCCACAGAGTCAACCAATCGCAAATAAAAAACAGTATTTTCAAATCCACAGTTGAGAATCTGCAGATGCTGAAGACCAATTGTATACATTATTCTATGCCATTTTATGTAAAAGACTTGAACATCTGCGGATTTTGGTATCTGCAGGAGAGTCTTGGAACCAATTCACCACAGATACTGAGGGACAAATGTAGTTACATTTGTGGAGAGTCAAAAGTTCTACTTGGATTTCCACTGTGTGGGTTTGCCACCGCTTATCCCCATGTTATTCAAGAATCAACTGTATCTCTACTATCCAAGTGTCTGTATATCAGAAATTTAATCATTCTTTTTGGTCATGCATAGTTTTCTTTATAGAATTTTCTTTAACATCCAGAGTTCCTACAGAAGAGACAAACCATTAAGTTCTAAAAGCTAAATTGAAATGAGTTGGTCAATCTCTTTCCCACCCAGCAAGGGTACAGAAGAAGAATGGGGACATCCCACATATATATCATGATGGTCAAGGGGAAGAAGAGAAGGGGCCAAGAAAGGAAGGGTAAAGAAGGTGAGTTCATTAGGAAACATCTCTGATGAACTCTGCTTTTCTTCCCACCTTTGCTCCAGCAGGCCCTGGCTTTCCTAAAGATCATTCCCAAGTCATCTAGCACAACACAGCCAATTTTACCTTAGGGATGAGCAAATAAATTTTTTAAAAGCCATTAAAATGGCTTGATCTCCTCATTTCAGGTTGTCTTAAGGAGAATATTTCAAAAACTCTCTCCTGTTGTGCTAAAATTAATTTTTTTTTAAGAAAATCCCCCAAATTGCCTATTCATTAAAGCACCTGCTATACCATAGACGTGACTCCATGTGGCATTGTGTGTCTCACAAATACCAACTCCTCCATGAAGCCTTCTCTGATTCCCCAACCTTCTCCCCAGTCATCACTCTTCATGCTCCTCTACGGCTCTGTAAGCCCTTCTCTCAGCACTTCCTTCACTCTGACAAATCATTCATATTCATCACCCCAGTTACATAGCAAACTCTTTACCATTCCCAGAATCTAGCCCAATATCTGGCACAATGAGTTTGATAACACTCTGATACCTGAATAATTAAATACTAAAATGTAGGTTACATTATAAGTGCATATTCCTTGACTGTCTCCTTAGATGATAAGCTTCTGGGCAAATACCTTTAATTACAGAATAAGGCTTTCCAGCAGCAACACTTTCCTCAAAGTACTGCCTTTAGATTACATGGAATTATTTTTCCCTTATAACCGAGAAACTTAAAATATGTTAACTGAACCTTAATAAATAGTAGGTGGTGATCCTACCCCACCAGGAAGATAGACGACTTATTAGGAATTTTCCTTCTTTACAGAACCATTTCAGAAGCACTAACAAATAAATATTACACTAACTTGCGACTCAGGCAGCAGTTATAATGTCTTCTTTGTCATCACTGCCTTCATTTCACTTTTGTGAAAATATCAGTGTGTTTGGGGAGGTCCCAGGGAAATGAACCAAGCCTATTTAGTCAGAACAACTCAGTCCTCTTTTCTTTTGAGTCCACATCCTCTTAGTCTGTGGACCAACACAGAAACCATTTCCCTCCTGCAAGGAGCCTGCCCTTGCCAAGCCAAACAGCAGGCACAAAAGCAAATGGAGTGGGTGCCCTGGCTCTGCCTCCAGGCTCTACCTTTGATTGGCAATAGGCGTTTTCTCCCTCCTTCCTGCGCCTTCCACAGGATGCTCACTGACCTCCTTGGAAGTTCCAAATTCTGCTCACAGAGGGGCCAGTTGGATTTCTCTTGAAGGGTTTAAATTTCTCCACCCTACCATCTAGTCATGAAGAAATTCGGAAGTTATGAAAGTTCTGGAATCAATGGCTTCTTTTTTATAAAAGAGAATATCTTACTGTGCAACCGCAGACCAAAATAGCATAAACTTTAAGTGCCAGTAAATGTCAACGTTCACTTTGGGATAGTACTGGATATTTTAAGTATTTGTATTAGGGCTGAAATCTATAGGCCATAACCCAGATATATTCTATACCTTTGCCGTTATCTATAACTTATCTCATTTTTCTCTAGAACCCTTATTGAGGCAAGGTGAGAACAAAAGCCCTTCTATTCCAAATTTTAAAATTATTTCCTTTAGGTTAATTTAGTCAACTCTAAGTTTCCCACTTCTTTAGAGATTATCCCCCGCACCCCACTCTACCTTCCAAAGTTGGCATCTAAGTGCAGGGGAGGCTTACATATCCTTTGTTGCTGTTTTCTTCCCTGTCTAGTACATAGGGTTGATCTGGTCTTGCCCTTAGGAATCCTTCCATGATGTTGATTGAGAAGAAGCTCGTTCCTGGCAAGGCACTAGTTTAATGACTTCTGCTGATCCTTGTCCTGATTTAGTGCTTAGGTGTCTCCTCCCCAAGGCACACAGAAATATTTAGGTCTCCTAAAGGCCACCTCCAACTTTCAGGTTACCAGCACATCAGGTCTAGCCTATTAGCCTTGACATTTCAAAGTATTTATGTAGTTGGCACCATAATTCTCCAATATATGCAGAAAGAAAGACATTCTTGATGAGGCTGGCTTCAATATTCCTTGTCTGAGAAGTAAGGAGCAAGCACTATATATTGGGAGTTTTCAAAAACTACCTGAGAGTTTCTGCTTCTCACTTCCACACTATGACAATAATATCTGACTTCTGGTTTCCCTTCCTCCTTCCTTCCTGCCTCCATGGGAAAAATAAACAAAAAAACACAAAAACAAAAAACCTAGGACCCTCATAGGAACATTCCTTACAATAGATGCCAACATTCTATTTAACGACTTTAATAAAACTCTATGAAGCAAGTATGCCAGGAGTGATTTTTGATATTTATAGTGGGGGAAAGTTGGAAATTTAATAAATCATTTTTCTTTTCAAAGAAGCTAGATTTCAAAACCGTTCTATTACTATGTTCTCAAAAAGTCATCTTTGAGACTCATTCCCAAGGCCAAAAAACAAACGAACAAACAAAAACAAAAATAAAACACACAAAAAACAAACAAAAAAACTTTATGTCTTAGTCTTAAAGAGGAGGGCTTCAGGAAAAGATGATTTAAGAAAAAAT